GTTTGTTCGTTCGTTCGTACCTCTCCAACTGTCCATGTGATTCTTGCAAGGCAGCTTTTGAAAGATAACATGTTCGTTGTGAGTCCCAGAGCCCCGGTTGGAAAAGAGTGGGGTGGAAAAGGCCCGCCCCCTCCCATCCCTCTTGGGAAATCAGGAGATGGGGAAGTTGGTAGGGGCTCAAGAGATATGAGACCACTGGTTCCGGCGCCTGTGGTAATACCATTAGCAGCTAACCGAGGGTTTAGCGAGTGCCAGACTATAACTCATGACATATTACTTGTTATGGCTACTGATGTATTATTTAGGGCAACTCTTGACATATTACTTACAGCCCAGACAGTCTCAGATGGAATTCGACTAGCGACAATTACACTGCTGTCACTGGAGCCCAAGTGCAGGACGTTTGTGGCCATTTCGCCAGCAGGCAGGGACAAATCATATTTGATTCAGTGACGTGTGCCACTTGGCGAGCCAGTACAGCTTCCGGTTGGTTGAGAAAGTGTTGTAATTATTAAGGGCACACTGAGTTTTGAAGTAATCGAGTGTTGTCGGTTGGAGACTAGCGAACAGTGAAATATTATACTAGTACTAATTACTGGCGGGTTAACCATGGATGTGAGATGTCTGAGAAAGACTACAGGAATGAACAGAAGAGATAACACTAAGGAAGGAAGTTATGAAAGAATATATGCTAAATTATATAAAAAGACAGCAAATAAAATGGTTTGCTCACTTGGAGAGAAAAAACAAAAACGAAGAGAGAGAGAGAGAGAGAGAGAGAGAGAGAGAGAGAGAGAGAGAGAGAGAGAGAGAGAGAGAGAGAGAGAGAGAGAGTGTGCCTTGTAACGCCTTGCCATGAAAGACATACACCAAAAAAGGACATAGGACAAGAGGTAGACCAAGAAGGATATGGAAAGATATTACATGAGAAATTCTACAGCAGCACGATGTGATGATAGTCGAGGCGACTAGAAGAGCAAGAAACAGAACCTTACACCGAAAGTGGTAAAATATGAAGTGAAAAAGACATCCCTTGCCCACTTCTCCCATCCCCATTAGAGTAGAGGAAACGAAATTATCGAAGTTCATATTGAATTTAGTTTATATTTATTCTGGTACTATTTGTCTGAATCGTTTCGTTTTGCGAAACGTCAGAACGGTGTAGCTCTTTCGTGACTAAAGCCTTGTTGTTGGATGAATCTAAAGGTAAAACAGCTGAAGTTGACTTTTTTATGTAATGTTATGTGCAGTGCATTACTGTTAGTTCTTTCAGTCCTGATGATGGCAGCCTTGTCTTGACTGGCAGAGAACGAACGAACGAACGAACTTTATTTTCAAAGGGTCACAAATTGGGCACGCAGGCCTGTCTTACATTCGGCCCTTCCAGTCAACCATCTTTCACACAGCAATTGTATTTTACTAATAAAGCATGTTATGATCATATGATGATATGCATATTTTGAATATTATAAAAGAACACAAAAGCATGAGTTGTAAAGTGCATGCAAAAACCCGCGCGTGCATACATACACCCACATACACACGCTCACCCACTCACGGAGAAACGGAGACAAGATAAGGAAGAAATGTAGTAGTAGATTTTTACCCCACTAGGACATCACACAAGCAATAAACACCCGATGACACAAAGTGCCACCATGTGGGTGAGGATCACCGTGGAGAGGTCGCAGAAACCGCGTTCAGCTATTAGACCATATTTATTGTTGGACTTTATTGCGGCCCCTGGCAAGAGCCAGAGTAGGGCTTCATAAAAAGAAAGAACTGTGTAGCAGATCCCAGCATATATGTTGCTTCCGTCTGTTGGCCAATCTGCTCAAGGTCTTGACAAGCATAAATTAGACTCACCGGTCATCGTTGTCGGCTCTGTGGCTAAGTCGATGCCAACGCTTCGTAATGCCGGGGTGCCAGGTTCGATTCCAGCTGCGGGCCATGCGCCTTGCGTTGGTTTCGACAGTGATATCAAGAAAGCCGACCGTCCAGTAAGCAATGGCAACTACTGGACGTAAATTTGCCTAGAAAAACCACACTGTTGGGGTTGGTTTTGCAACGTCCTGTAAAGGATACACAACTAACCAGTCGTCGTTATATCCATAATCATTGAGCATTGATTTCTTTTGGATGTTTAGCAGTCGTCGTCGCTTGTGAGGGACGAACAACACACTGTTAGGATTGTCTGAGCCCTGAGGGGCTTACATAAGTCTGGGAAATGATGTACTTTCCGCCCGGCCCAGTCGTGTCTGCTAGCTGTTGTAGAGCCTTACCTTCCCTATCCAATCTATGAGAGCCGAGAAGTGTGTCAGAATGGGCGGTAACTCCACATCTACAGAGGGGCGAATTCGGTTGTGACAAGTTATTGTTTCAACACAGGCACAGTCATGCAGACACAGTCATACAGACACAGTCATACAGACACAGTCACACAGACACAGTCATACAGACACAATCACACAGGCACAGTCACACAGACACAGTGATACAGACACAGTCATACAGACACAGTCACACAGACACAGTCACACAGACACAGTCACACAGACACAGTCACACAGACACAGTCATACGGACACAGTCATACAGGCACAGTCACAAATACACAGTCACACAGGCACAGTCATACAGGCACAGTCACACAGGCACAGTCATACAGGCACAGTCATACATACACAGTCATACAGACACAGACACAGTTATACAGACACAGTCACATAGGCACAGTCGTACAGGCACAGTCACACAGACACAGTCATACAGACACAGTAACACAGACACAGTCATACAGACACAGTCACACAGACACAGTCATACAGACACAGTCATACAGACACAGTCACACAGACACAGTCATACAGACACAGTTACACAGGCACAGTCATACAGGCACAGTCATACAGACACAGTCACACAGACAGTCATACAGACACAGTCATACAGACACAGTCATACGGACACAGTCACACAGGCACAGTCATACAGGCACAGTCACCCAGACACAGTCACACAGACACAGTCATACAGACACAGTCATACAGACACAGTCATACAGACACAGTCACACAGACACAGTCACACAGACACAGACGGGAATATTCCCTGCTCGGATTATATGGCGCTCATTGTCAGCAGATAGTTCAACCCATTACTCAAAAGGATCTTAGAAAACCTGTTTCTGTCTTTGACTGTTCGGTTCCGTGGGTATGTGAACAAGTTTCATAATCCTCACCTTACCACACATTCTATTTCCACAACGGTTCTGAAACAAGGCAATTGCCGTGGCATTCCAACAACAGAGAAGAGTCGAACCTTGAAGGAGATGACAGCTTCAGCAAGCGATGTTCTCAAGGACAGCCAACACTTGTCTACTAAAACCAGTCTCCATTATCGAGACGACACGCATTTGTTTCAAGTCCGCAAATATTGAGAAAAGAACTTGTTAAACTAGCCCAGAACTTTCTTGGTCATATGTCTTCTCAGTTGGTTGTAGTTATGGTGCTACCAGATAGGACTAATACACACGAAAGTCGTCAAACTGTTTTTGTTTTGTTTTTCCTGTCCGTCCATATGTTGTGCGTTTGTGATCAAGAAAACGAAGAAGAAAAAGAAGAAGAAAAAGAAGAAGAGGAGGTAGAAGAGGAGGAGGATGAAGAATACGAGCAAGAAAATGAAGAAAAAGAGACAAGAGAGTTGTGATGATTACGAAGAAAAAGAGACAACAGAGTTGTGATGATTACCACAGAGAAAAGAAATAACACAAAAATAAATAGAAAATAAGTTGTTGATATGATGTTTGATTTTATTATGTTTAGAAAAACATGTTTCACAAATCAATGTTAGTGGGAATCATACGTACGACCAGCAACAGCAATGGAAGCGGTAGAAACATCAGGTTAATACTGCTCCAGGGTTAGGGTAGAGCAGGCGGGCCGTGTTAGTGCAATGACCTCACTTTCTGTGATCGGAATCACACGGATGTAAGGGCGTGTATTATGGCGGGACAAAGAATATGCAACCTGAGAGGGAAATATGTTTGTGATATTTACACAAAAGGAAGGAGAGGGGAAGGATAGCGTTTGTTTCAGACAATCATATTGGATGAAGACGTATAAATATGCGACAACATGCCGTCAGTTATGAATATTATTGCAAGTGAATGTATTATTTACAAATAATGCACGATAATTTGTGAACAATCAACGTGTGAAATTATCGTTTCCAGCCCATAATATCCAACCTAACTGATATTGTCTACCGCCGCTTGTCTCGTAATTTCTCAGAAATGACTGACGTGCTGTAGTTGTTATCACAGATTAGAGAATTGCAACCAGCTATGTGGTTTGATTCATTGTCCAAGAACAGGTGTTATTTACACGGCACACTTCTCGTTCACATTAGTCAATGTGACACATAAGTTTCCATAAACCCGTAGTAGCAATGGGGAAAGTCGATGCTGAAGTTCCATAAACTGATTTTCACATGAGGTCAGAAAGTAAAACTGACAATCCTGACTAAAATATATAATTACCACAGACTATTAGATAATATTTCATGTTGTTAGTTGTCCAAAGTTTTGTAAACAGATTTAGGTTTTTGATAAATCTTCTGACTTCCGAATCATGCTCTGTGTGGCAGGGAGAGATGGACATGAGAGTCTTTTGTGAAGTGTCTTGATTCGTTTGTCATCGACGTTTATTAAAAGATGTTGGCACGGAAAGAAAACTAGACGATGGTTCATGTCAGGAACCATCTCCATGTTCTGCTATACTTTCCTCTGTCCGGCTGGTGGTCAGCTGGAGAGCCTGGTCTGACTCGTCCCTGGTGCTGATGCTTAAGCTGCGTCCCATGTGAAGGTCCGACAGATCGCTGTCGTCATTTTGACCGCCATTTCGTGGCAGCAGGTACCCTTGTCCGGCGTTGCTACTGGCCGAGCTGTACCCACTGTGCCCACTGACACGGCGGTTACCTTCACGATGGGACGCCGCATGTCAATCCGTCATCTGCGTCACCGTGTTGAGGCTATCGTCGTCATAGTCTCTCACCCCTTTGCAGACTTTGCAAGAGAGCAGGCGTCGGAATGCATTGTAGAAGTTCTTATTAAAGTAATAATATAAGATTGGATTCATGAGCGAGTTGATGTAACCCAGCCACAAGGCGATCTGCCACGGCTCGTAATTGATGTAGTACCCGATCAAAGGATCGATGACGTTAATGATGAAGAAAGGGAACCAACACACGGAGAAGCAGCCCATGATGATGCCCAATGTCTTGGCAGCCTTGTACTCCTGCTTGAACTTGCTTTTCCTCCTACAGTGGCTGTAGTGGTTGTGGTTTCCAGCGGCTTCCAGAGTTCGAATCTGATGGGCCTGTTTTATGGCCGCCATGTAGATTCGAACATTGCAGGCGATCATAAAAACAACAGGAATGTAAAAGGCAATGAGGGAGCAGATGAAAGCAAACGGTACGTTGACCACAAATGTACACACATTCTCGTCTGCAGGAAAGGCGCACTTGATGACATCTTCAATGCCGATGTGATTCCAGTCGTTGAAGATGGGGATGAAGGAAATAAAAATAGGAGTGACCCAACAAAATGTCAACATGACACAAACCCAGCGAATTGTTAGCCGGCCGTGCAAGAACGGCCGGCAGATGGCCAGGTAGCGATCTATGGCAAGGCATGATAGATGAAAGATGGACACTGTACACATCATAACGTCCACGCTGGCAGAAAGTTTGCACAGGATCTTGCCAAGAAGCCAGACTTTGTTATTGAGTTGCTGGTAGATTGAGAACGGCATCACGCACAGAGCTACACACGTGTCAGCGATGGCCAGGGAAACCACAAAAGCGTTGGTTATCGTTTGCAGCTTTTTGTGGGTGATAACTGCTATGACCACCACCCCGTTGCCAAAAATCGTTAGAATAGGAACGAAAACCAGAATCGTTGTGATAATGTATCTGGTCAAATCGTCATACTGTGGAGGCGGGCCAGCCATGTCTCTCGTGATTTCAAGACAACGGATGCTGGACAAATTCAAAGTGGTATCCACTGCCGGAAGAGCTGTGCTGTAGCCGCCATTATAAGCTTGATCGTCAGCATCATGTGCAGACACATTCCCGACTGAATTCAT